TTCAACCCTAATTTTTCTACCAAAGGAAGAAGAGAAGGTTTCTGAGGGAACATCGTGTTGCTGCTACCGTTATTCCTGCACCAGGCAGTCATTGCTGGCTGCCAGAGGTTCAGTCTAGCCTGCTAGTGACGAACTCAGAAAAGGAGCAAATGATTTATGAATCACACAAGGCTACAGTTATATACCAGAATAAAACAGGGACAGGGTATTAGTGCATGAGTAGGTCCTACAGATGTCCGTATTGACATGCTTCTTAGCATGGTTTTTGTCCTGTATCAATTAGTTGTCCCCCAGGCATGGTTTGGGCACATTTCAGGAGGTGAACGTGCACCACAACCATAAGCAGTTTAGATATGGCCAACGTGATTTAACCTTGGGGACAGGAGGTGTTCTGTACTGCTTGGCCTCAGAGTCAGAGAAGAGTCACTTGCCTGAATTATTTAGTAATACACAGCAAGCCAAATTGACTCAGGGACAAACAAGCCAATAACTGGGTCTGAAGGGTCAGCCTAAGGAACAGCTTAACAGGGAGGGAATTTCGGCATCAATTGCAAAGATCTGCTCACCTGCAAACTTTATTTTGTTTTCTGTTTTAAAAGTTCTGCTGTTTTAAAGGATTTGTTTGGAAGCAAATCCCTCCAATTTTCTTTGTTGTTTCTGATGGCATGTCTGTGATTGTGGGAACTCGGTAGCACTGTGCAGGTATGCTGCAGCAGATTACGATGCTGCCAGTAGTTTTCAAGCAGCGTTACTGTACCACGGTCAGAAATGGTTGATTACACAGGAGAAGGAAGCGCAGAGCAGTTGTTGAGTATTTAGGTAATGCTAGATGGAATATGAGTCTGATTGCATTTGACTTAAAAGCAACCTCCTTCCCTGCCTAAAATCCAAAATTCCACCCCTGAAATATTACAGCTGCCCCACATGGTAATTTTTTTAGTGATTTTTATAGGCTCAAGAATTCTCAGATACAGCTAGTACTTTGTCCATTCAAAGAGAGGTGACACTTCATCTTTCACTAAGACACTTCAGGCTCATTCTCTTACCAAATCCATTTTCATTCCTTCTATATGAACCTGTAACATAGGTTATGCAATTAGGAGGAAAGTGTTTGCAGAAACGATAAGGAAAACCTGATAAATGAAATCCGCTATACACTGTCAGTCACACTGATGCTATTCCAATAAACACAAACATGTTTTTGTGTACCCAGCTTAAAGAGACAGAGTAAAATAATTTATGGCCAAAATTGTCTTTCCTTCCTTGCAGCATTTATATGTATATAATACTATACACACCAAAAATAAGTTAAGGGAGCATTACTGACATAAAGTAGAGTGCTAAAAAGGCAATGCTATGGTTAGTGTCGTAGTTATAACATTATAGTTAACAGGCTTTTTGTTCAGTAACTGGGCCCCTCTCTGTGAATGTGCTATATACAGTCTTTATGCAATTAGGAGCATTTTTTAGGGTGAATGTTTGGTTTTAGGAAAGGGTTTTGCTTTCAAGGCAAATGCAGTCAGATTTATATCGCATTTGTTATTATCTAAGTGGAGCCTTGTCTTCCAGAGGAGATTTGTCTTCTAGAGTGCACAGATTGGGCAGCCTTCAATTTAGGAGTGGATGCAAAATACTTTTCCAAGTGTTGCCCTATAATTTTTTCCTTTTTTTTTTTTTCTGTACACTATTCAGACCTTGCTTGGAAGACAAAATCAGTCATTTCCTTGTGGGAATTGTTATTCTGCTCTTTCACTGTAGTTTCTGAGTGCCTCAGAAATGTTAATGTATCATTAGCAGTTCTGAGGAGGTGATGTGATATCTCCACTTTATAAATCAGGAGTGAAGGCTGGTGGTTGAAGCACAGGACCAAGAGTGTTTTCTAGTTTGGGGGCCCCATTCAATGACCTGATTTCTTGGACTAATGCATTTTGTGTGATCAAGGCACATTCCCTGTTGTTGATTTCCGTGGCCTTAGTGAGTGCTCAGGAGCTCTGCAGTCGGCCTCTGGGCTTGAAACTGAAGATGAAAGAAATAAGGAATACTTATTTGGTGACCAGCTGAGTCAAAATTTAGTATAAAGGGCTTCCCTAGCAGCACATAAGAACTGTGGAGCAGAGGCCAGCATACAGTACTTTCTCCAAGGATGATGCTCATTTCCAGTTGTCCGGAGTTTCTTTCTTCTGATTCTCCTATGCCTTTGAATATCTGTAACAAATGAGGCAGTGCTCCATTGAGTGATGGTCTCCCTAGCTGCACTTCTGATCCTCAGAACAGATACCTACTGACAAGTTAGAAAACAGATCATTTATTTAAAGAGGATACTCAGAGAAAACAGTCCAAACCCCTTCAGCTTTGACAGCCTGTCCCAAATTTTCCTTGTTATTGCATGAAATAGGATATTCTATGTATACATTAAAAATGTGCCCATATTTTATCTTACAGTAGTCATCTGATGACCTGAGACTGACCTGAGTCAGTCTCTTCCTTCAGCTTAATATCCTGTTACGTACTCTTCTACTTGAAAACAGCTCATCTTTGCTCAAAACTGGTCTGTAGTGTCAGCTCAGTGACATTAGTTTACTACACTGGGTGGTGTTGCTGAGAATGTAAAACAATCCCATTAGCCTGTTTGCAATATAAAACAGGCTTCTGCATTTTACAAGCTTATGCAGTGTAGCAAGATTCTGGCAAGTGTAAAGGAAAAAGGTGTTAAGGAGAGCTGGCAGCTCCTTAAAGAGAAGATATTAAGTGCAAACTCTTCCAATAAGGAAGAGAGTTAAGGAAATGCAGTAGAAGACCAGTGTAGCTAAATTGTCAGCTCTTCATGGCCCCTGAAGAGAAGAAGTTTTTTTTACGAAGTCAGAAATAGGTCAGATTTCCAAGAACAAGGATAAAAAAATAGCATGTAGGGACAATAAAACCAGAAGTCTTGAAGCACAAAATGAGATCAAAGTATCCGGGTGTGTAACAGGTGGTAAGAACTCATTTTTCATGTACATTAGTAATAAAAGAAGGCCTGAAAGAAAATGTTAGAGAGTGAAAGGGATCAACAGATGGCATTGGGAAGGCCAAAGTGTCTTTGGTTTGTTTAGGTCTTTCCCAGTAAAGTAGATACTGCTGCTACTGAAAACATGAGGGACTGTACTGCCACTGCTACCTTGGGCAGGTAGGCAGGGGCCTGGGTGCCTGAAGATCTCACATGCATAAATGATTGTCTCTGTACAGCCTGATATCTACAGAGGTGTATACCTTCCACCTCCACCTACCAATTTTAGGATGGTTTGTCTGGAGGGCATTGCTGTATGATGCCTGAAATACTGATTGAAGATGACTTGGAAAGTGTTTAGGAAAGTCCACTGTCAGAAGGGAAGCATGAGCTGGGAGGATCCCAGAGGTGGCTTCTTTGGAAGTACTATTCTGTACTTCTGTTAATGGTTTAGATGATGGCACTGGGTGCGATAACAATTTATATAGAAGGCACTAAGCTGGTAAGGATGAAAGACGCTATGAAAGAAAGGGCTACGATTCAAAGTGGTCTTGATCAGTTGGAGAAGTAGTGGTCGCAGCTCAATAAGGACATGTTCTATATACCACTCTTAGGAGTAAGCAACTTTAATGATAAAGGCCGAGGAATAACTTCCTAGGGAGCAATTATTCAGAAAAAAGTCTGAGAGTTACAGGGACCCACAAGCCAGTACATGAGTCGACATTGTCATGCTGTGGCATGTAGTATTCCGGGGTGAATAGAGAGGAATATAGCCTGCAGAACGTATGAAAAAAAATCCTTCCTTGTCTGGAGTACCATGTCAAGTCACAGGGACTATACCTTGAGAAAGATGTAAATCAACAAGACTAGGCAGAGGGACAACAGCAAGACTGAACAAACGGTCCCAGATAACATGACTGATAAGTACGTATTGAGCGAATTGGTGTTATTTGGGGTAGATGGCAGCAATATGATTAGTGGTTATTATAGCCTTCTGTATATATGGGCTGCTGCAAAGAGCGAGAGAATAACCTGTTTTCTATGCCTGTGATAGCACAAAGACTAAAGACCATACGTTCCAGCAAGAGAGATGGTCCTACCATGGTAAGAGTAGTCCAGCACTGGAAGAGTTTGTGTGGGGAGGTTATTGAATCTCCATTGTTGGAGGCCTTCAAGAACAATTAGGAAACATCCTCTGGCAATAATATAAGTTGTAGCAGATTCTGCTATGGGGCTGGACATCTCTTGATGCCTCTTCTAGGTGTAATTGCGTTGTTTTCTGACACGCTTCCTTTTTCATCCTTTTACTCCTTGGTGGATATCACTATTCTCTGGATAGGGATTTCTTAGTTGGTGGGAGGGATTAAAATTTAGCAAATCTATAGCAGTCATCTTGGTACAGAACTTCATGGGGCAGTGCTTTAAACTGCTATGTTTGACCAATTGCTGAAGCTGTAAGAGTCCCAGGCCACAACTTCTTAGTGAGAGTGTTCCTTATAGACAGAGTAAGGACTGGGACTTGCTTTCTAATCAAGATATTTTCTGAAGACTTTTAAAATGCATGTAACAGTCTGACATACCAGCTGTCACCAGAAAACTTGTCCCCCACTGACACCCGCGTGCGGTGCGTTGGCACTCATGTCACATGAAGAGGGAGTGTTGACAGGTCCTCTTGCTAGTCACCTTAGAAAGGGAGGAAAGAAGCCAGGGTTCAGCAAAGGAGAACTGGCAATCGTAGGAGAACACCAGGAATGGCAGAACCAGAACAATCTGAGCAAGGAGTTACTGGACTGGACTGGGACTTTTACAAGTCCAAGAGGAAATGCGTGCAGCAAAAGAGAAATTTTCTCCAGCCTCATCCATGTTTAGCTTGGTGTTTGGGACTGATTTGAACCTCTCTCGTTGTGGGACAGCAGTTCAACGCCATTCATGGCCAATCTTTCCAAGTTCCAGAGTCTCGAGTAGCTCTATTTACATTTGTGTTAAAACTGAATCATGTTTTCTTTTGACTTAGAAGCCGAGCTTGATTTCCAAGCCAATGCTTGACAGCATCCTTTGTCTTCGTGATGACAGATGGAAGTATGTCCGGAGCCTCCTGACCCCAGCCTTCAGCGATACCAAACTGAAAGAGGTAAGTTGTAGACAGTGCTGCTTTCATAATTTAGAAGACATAATTGTTTTCTTTTGTGCAGGCATCTACTTTATATAGGTCTGTATTAAGGATAGGTAAAACCTATTAGTTTGTGCCAGCTTATTTAGACCTGAAGAGTATGTGCAGTAGAGCATACGTACGGTGTGGTCCAGGTCATAGACTGGTGAAAATCAGAATAGCTCATCTGAGGATATGATCCTCTGTCTTTCTCTATATAAGTCAGTTTGTCCATAAAAGTGTAGCAAACTCAAAAAGGACCCTTACACCTTCCTCTCCCCGCCCTGTTAGGAGTAAGATAAAGTACAGGAAAGGTTATTGCTCCCAGTTGGAACATAGCTTTTTGTGATTTGCAGAGTCAGCAGCTCTCACGTTAACACGGGAACTGCTGTCAGTCTATTTTCATTTCTCCATCTCCTTCCCCCCCCTCCTCCTTTTATTCTTTAATCCTTTCATATAATAAAATAAGTCACTGGAACAGAATGTCATTGCCAGATAAATACCTCTGACTGAAAATAAATGTCTCTGTGCTGACCTGCTGCTAATTTCCTATAAATGTCTCAGCATTTACTTAGTCATGGGAACCCATTACCCGGTAACAAAGTCCTATTCCAGTGACACGATATCTCTTAATTAAACGCAGATAAATGATTGACTGGTTAAAGTCTTCTTTCAAGGGGGGGGAAAAAAACCCCACACAACAAAAAAACACCTCTTCCTTTATGTATTTTATTCTGAAGGGGAACCATGCCTCATTCTGGTGCCCAGTCCTGGGTTGTAAAATTTTCCACTGGGCAGACGCTTGTGTTGTTTTGACATGCCGCTGTCGAAATCCACAGTAACATCTAAATGTGTCTGGCTCTCCCAGCTCTATAGACAGCGGTCGCTTAGCAACGCTGGCTGTCACCTCCTTATTATGGTAAATTCTAATTGGCCGCCAGCCTGGCGGAGATGCTGATTAATCATGACTGACAATGCCATTGGTTATGCACCCCGACATTTGCTCTGTCACCGGCTCCATCGTGAAATTTTAGTGAGGCGAGGATGTTTAAATATGCAAGCGATTAGTTGCTCATGGCGTTGTGGGGAGAGGAGAGTTTTGCATTTTCCTAGCGGAAATTAATCTGCCTTACTGCAGGTCATCGGCTCTTTGCTGGTGGACTAACAAAAGATAAAGCCGCACTCCCCTCAATTTGCAGAGAGCAACCTCTGCCGGCACCAGCCGGGCAGACTTGGAGGAGAGCGGTGAGGGCAAGCAGGCGGAGGCCCTGGGCGTCGTGCTTTGGGACCAGGCAGTCACGGGTTTGCAGGGTTTGACTGATTAAACCGGGGTGGGAGGAGAAGTCACGGTGCTCACTTTGCACTGCTTGGTGGTGGAGCTGCAACGCAGGAGGAGGGTAGTGGTAGGAGGTAACATGGAGGGCTGGCTAGTGCCTGGTAGCTGTCTCACGTGCAAAAATTGAGATCTTTATTTTTAGCCTGATAATCAACTTTCCCTGTGCTGCCTCTTCCAAACTCTGGAAGGGGAATCATAGAATCATTAAGGTTGGAAAAGACCTCTAAGATCATCGAGTCCACCCGCAAAGCCAACACCGCCATGCCCACTAAACCATGTCCCTAAGCGCCTCATCTACACATCTTTTAAATACTTCCAGGGATGGTGACTCAACCACTTCCCTGGGCAGCCT